TGCAGTACTGGTGATCCCACGGTCAGTATTTTACATGTATTACCCGAAAAAGTAAGGAGAACTTCGTTCCCCTCCCCCTCTCCTTAACACTGGGCATGCCCGTGCAAAGACAGCTTCCCGCCAGAATCTTTTCAATCGGTTGGGGGTGTGGCCAACCCCAAACGAGGTTGGGGTCCGCCTTAGCCCACGGGATGGAAGATTTTCAGCATTTTACTTGCTGTTGTGCAATTATCTCATTGGGTGGAGCCCTCCTTCAATCACGGAGTATATGGAGGGTGTCAGGATCAGTGCTGACAGAAGTCTATTTTATTCCAAAAAAATGTGGCGACTTTGTTCAGTGTCTTTGCACCATCACCATCAGATCATTTGTGATCCGATGGCTGGGAAGCACTCTGCCGTGATTTCCAGTGGGAGGTCTCTGTTTTCTCAGCCCAGAAATTCGTAATGAATGTGTCTGGCCGCTGCCACTCAGTGTCACACTGGATCGGCCACACTCCTATCCGACTGCTAATGGGACCTCGCCCCTGGCAGGGCATTTTCCGGCTCGGCATCAATAGCTGGGCCACGTACGGAAATCTTCTGTTTGTGATCATGTTCTCTGCAGCAGCACCACGTACTTTCCCACTTGTTTCCCACTTGCCTTGTTGCGTTCTGGTACTGGCATTAGCGCTTTCCCCGGATCGGAATCCGAACCCGACGAGGACCTGACAGGCTGACTGTAATCAAATTCACAGCTCTGCCAAAAACGTTCTAGCCTGAAGAAAGGCCCTGAGACTGCTGAACGGAGTCCCACCGGGTTGTTGTTGTTGTTGTTGTTTTTTGTTTTGTTTAAACGGGCCCAGTGCCCAAGGCTTTTATTGCTCAATAATCAATAAACGAGGCCGGGGCCCTCACAGTCTACCCGGGGAACCCTGAAATCTGGCAGCCTTAGCCAGCTTCGCTTATACCGCTCAACAGTCGAATCTAACTTCAATATCCAATCTAATACTTTAAAAGAAATTCCGAAGCGCTATAACTCCTGGCAGCCTCAGCCAGCTTGGCATAAACCAGACCAAAACGTAATCTGCTCACTGCGTTCTATGTCATATCACTTATCTTGTCAGCTAGTCTGCCTTCCAATCCTACTGAAACCTGGCAGCCTCAGCCAGTTTAGCTTATTCCACGCAAAGGTAAAAATAAATGTAGGGAGTCAAAAGAACAATCATACAGAAAAACCAAAAATTTCATAACAACTGGCAGCCTCAGCCAGTTTAGCTTAAACCAGTAACCAATCCGAATCTGCTCCCTGTGTTCTGTGACGTAACACCTATCAGCTAGCCTGCCTTCCAATCTTACTGAAACCCGGCAGCCTCAGCCAGCTTAGCTTAATCCAAGCAAAAATAAATATAAAGGTGCGGGGTCCTACGACCTGGTACGTCCGGGTCTATTGGGTCGACCCCAAGGCGGGGACCCTAAGGCGG